AAATTGTAGAAAAGTGTCTGTGAGCTAGGTTTTGGAAAATTAGGGGTTTTAATATTTTATTTAAGATTCTATTAAATTGGTGATTCAATCGGGTTTTTTTTATTAATTTATAAATGTTATTGTTATATTATTTGGGAAAAATTGATGATCTAGATGTGGATTTATGATGAATTGCTTGAGAGGTATGTGAACCACTATTTTGTGTGGACTTATCCATTTTGTGTATGTGATGTGAAATTGAGTTATGGAATGCGGTGTGATGTCTTGATACAAATGCATATATTATATCTATCGTTTTAAGTATTAAATTGATAATATGATGTGGCGAATGAGATATTATGACTTAATTGTTCAATTAATTATGATTTGAGTATGTTGACATGAAATGAGATGTTGTGTTGAATGTTAATATGATTGTGGTTCCTCACACTAATGACCAGGGATGGCACGACTCTTAGGTAAGTGATGCTACAAGGACGACGTGACCTTGGCATAGTGTGGGATGTGTGAGACAATTAACACGTATCACTTATGTCAGATGTGGCGTGGCCTTGGCATAATGTTAATTGTAAGATTTGTGTGGATTATGAATGTAAATATGATTGTGGTTCCTCACACTAATGACCAAGGATGGCACGACCCTTGGGTAAGTGATGCTACAAGGACGGCGTGACCTTAGCATAATGTGGGATGTGTGAGACAATTAACATGTATCACTTATGTCAGATGTGGTATGGCCTTGGCATAATGTTAATTGTAAGATTTGTGTTGATTATGAATAAAATATGATTGTGGTTCCTCACACTTATGACCAGGGATGGCACGATCCTTGGGTAAGTGATGCTACAGGGATGGCGTGACCTTGGCATAGTGTGGAATGTGTGTGAAAATTAACACGTATCACTTATGTCAGATGTGGCGTAGCCTTAACATAGTGTTAATTACAAGATTTGTGATGGATTGGTGTGATTGTGAATTGTGATGTGAAGATGATGCATATCATTGATAAAATTATGATATATATAGAAATGCTTGTGAATATTTCATTAAGTAATGAGTTATGATGAGACGATGTTGTGGATTTTCTTTGTGCTTTACATATACATGTTTTCTTTTCTCACCGTATAATTTGTGGATGTTTTAGGTGAGGATGATCCGGCTATGAGTGACATCTAGAATGTCAACAGTTTAATTGTGGGTATGCTATAATATTGTGACATCGGGGCAGAGGATTTCTAGGACATGGAATTTTTATATGGATTTGGAGTTGTACTTATTATTTTTAAAAAACAATGTGTAAACTCTTATGTTTTATTTTCCAATTTTTTATTCATTTTGGATATTGAAGAACATTTGTAAAGGTTTTTATGTGAACCCTTTTACCAATGTTGAAAAATTTATTTCCTTAGTTTATTTACATTATTACAATATATGTGTTGGGGTAGTAAGGGTGTCACAAATTAGATGTGAACCTGTTCTACTCAAGTTATAAACGAATTTCTTCCTTATTTTAATTAATTTATATGTTAGAGTATAACAGGTGTCACACAAATTAAAAAAGAATATACGCATTTAAAGAAAAATCACCTTGAGTGTGAGTTTTTTATGTTAGTTATTTATTTACAATTAATAGTACAAAAATCATAGTGTGATTCCAAACCTGATGTTGATGCAATGTCTCCTATTATTCTTTAGAGAGATGATGATACTCTAGAAGATGAAGTTTGAAAAAACCATGAAACAAAACTCCCAAAAAAACTCAATAAATAAATAAGTAGAAAATAAAAATATAATTTAAAGTAAAGATAAATAGATAATAACAAATTCTAGTTAGGATAATCTAATTTAATTAATTATTTTAAATTTTATTATAAATGTAGTTACAAAACAAAATATTTCATTTTTATTATAATTTCATTTAAGATTTTAAACAAATTTTATTGTTAACTTAAAAAGGTAAAAGAAAATTAAAGAGGAAGTGTTAGTAAAAAGACTTTAATAGCCTCAATTTTTACATGTAGCCAAATATAAGAAAGTTTAATTATGTAAATTTGTTAGCCGATTCGATATATATATATATATATATATGTATGTATGTATTCGATTTATATATAATAACAAATTCTAGTTAGGATAATCTAATTTTATTAATATTTTATATTTTTAATTTATTTTAAATTTTATTATAAATGTAGTTACAAAACAAAATATTTCATTTTTATTATAATTTCATTTAAGATTTTAAACAAATTTTATTGTTAAGTTAAAAAGGTAAAAAAAAATAAAAAATTAAAGAGGAAGTGTTAGTAAAAAGACTTTAATAGCCTCAATTTTTACATGTAGCGAAATATAAGAAAGTTTAATTATGTAAATTTGTTAGCTGATAGGGTTTAGAGGTTTCGGTTTTCAACTAGAGGGTTTATAGGGATTTTTAATTTTTTTTATCTAATTTGATTTTTATTTATTATAATTATTTACAAATTAAATATTAACATTTTAAAACAAATAAAAATAACTTTTTTTCTTACAATATAAATTATTTATTATAAATCTAAAATATAATTTGTTTAAAAATATTTATGTATGCTAATTTTAAATATAATTTATATATTTAAATATAATATTTATTTATTATGAAATTTAATTATATAATAAACATGCATATACATTTGCACAAACTAAAATACTAGTATATAGTAAACACAGACATTTACCTTGCACGAGACTGTTTTTAGGATTTTTTTTTAATGAGAAGGTTTTTAAGAAATTTTTTTTAACTTTTTATTTAAATCAGTTTTTATTTATTATAATTATTTATGAATTAAATATTAATATTTTAAAATAAATTATCATAACTAAAATATTTTTTTTACAATAATATTATTTTTCATAAATCTAAAATAGAATTTATATGTTTAAAAATATTTATGTATCTTAATTTTAAGTATAATGTATATTCAAACATAGT